ACACAATACACAGCGCTCACCAAAACACATAACCCTCCCCAATGTCCATCACCCAGCCACCCCATCCCTCCCACACCTTTCCACTCCAACAACCCTCAGTTTATTTCCTGAGATTAAGAGTCTCTTATGGTTTGTCTCAAGAGGGAAGTTTATAACAACAGAATCCTTAAGGAACAAGAAAAATCTCAAATAAACAACCTAACCTTACACATCAAGGAGCTAGAAAAAAGAACAACTAAAGCCCAAAACCAGTAAAGGAAAGAAATAACAAAGATTAGAACAGAAATAAGTGAAATAGAGAATTAAAAAAAAAAACCAAAACCCACAATAGAACAGATCAATGACTCAGAAGCTGGTTTATTAAAACGATCAACAAAAATTGAAAAACCCTTAGCCAGACTCATCCAAAAAGCAACGCCCCCAAAGAAAGAGAGAAATAGAACTCAAATAAAATCAGAAATGAAAGAGGAGAAATAATAGCACAGAAATACAAAGGGTTATAAGAAAACATTATGAAAAATTATATGCCAACAAATTGGACAACATAGAAGAAATGGATAAATTCCTAGAAACCTGTAATATCCCAAAATTGAATCAGGAATAGAAAAATTGACCAGACTGATTACTAGTAGTGAAATTTAGTCAGTATTCAAAAAACTCCCACAAACAAAAGTCCAGGACCAGATGACCTCATAGGTAAATTCTACCAAACATTAAAAGAAGAGTTAATACCTATTCTTCTCAAACTTTAAAAAAAAAAAAAAGAGGAAGGAAAGCCACTCAATTCATTCTATGAGGCCAGTATTACTAATAACAAAATCAGACAGACACTACAAAAAATGAAAATTATAGGACAATAACTCTGATGAACACAGATGCAAAAACCTTCAACAAAATATTAGCAACCTGAATCCAACAATACATAAAAAAAATCATTCACCTTGATTAAGGGGATTTATTCCAGGGATGCGCAGGTGGTTCAATACATGCAAATCAATCATTGTGATATTATCACATTAACAAGAGAAAGGATAAAAACCTAGTAGTCATATCAGCAAATGCAGAAAGAGCATTTGAGAATGTACAATATCTATTCATGATAAAAACTCTCAACACAGTAGTTTTAGAAGGAACATACATCAACATAAGAAGGGCCATATATGAAAAACCCATGGCTAATATCATATGCAATGGTGAAACACTGAGCTTTTTCTCTAAGTTCAGGAACAAGACAAGAATGTCCACTCACCACTTTTATTCAACATAGTACTGGAAATCTTAGCCACAGCAGTATGACAAGAAAAAGAATAAGGTATCCATTGGTAAGGAAGAAGTAAAACTTTCACTATTTGCAGATGCCGTAACACTCTCTCTATATAAAACTAAAAATGTACCAAAAAACTACTAGGACTGATAAATGAATTCAGTAAAGTCACAGGATACAAAATTAATATACAGAAATCTGTTGTACTTCTATACTCTAATAATGAAGTAGCAGCAGGAGAAGTTAAGAAAACAATCCCAATTACAACTGCACCAAAAATAGTAAAATACCTAGGCATATACTTAACCAAGGAGGTGAGTGACCCACACTCTGAAAACTATAAAACACTGATGAAAAAAACTGATGATGACACAAACAAATGGAAAGATACTCCTTGCTCATGGATTGGAAGAACCAATACTGTCATCATGTCCATACTACCCAAAGAAATCTAACAGATGTAATGCAATTCCTATCAAAATACAAACATTTTTCACAGGACTAGAACAAACAATCCTAAAATTTGTATGGCACCACAAAAGATCCCAAATAGCCAAAGCAATCTTGAGAAAGAAGAAGCAAGCTGGAGGTATCATAATTGCAGATTTCAAGATACAGTACAAAGCTGTAGTAATCAAAACAGCATGATAATGGTTCAAAAATAGGCACATGGATCTTTGGAACAGAATGCAGTCCAGAAATAGACCCACACTTATATGGTCAATTAATCTGTGAAAAAGTAGGCAAGAATATACAATGGGAAAAAGTCTCCTCAACAAATGGTACTCCATAAACTGCACAGCTACATGCAAAAAGAGTGAAACTGAACCACCTTCTTACACCATACAGAAAAATAAACTCAAAATAGATTATGAGGACCTAAATGTGAGACATGAAACCATAAAACTCCTGAAAAGAAAATAGGCAGTAATTGCTTTGACATTGACTGTAGCAACATTTTTCTAGATGTGTCTAGAGAAAAAGCAAGAGAGAGACAAGAGAGACAAAAGCAAAATTAAACTATTGAGACTACCAAAATAAAAAGCTTTGAACAGTAAAGGAAACCATCACCAAAACAAAAGGCAACCCACTGAATGGGAGAAGGTATTTGCAAATGATATCCAATAAGCGGTTAATATCCAAAATATATACATAACTAATATAACTCAACACCAAAAACCCAAATAATTTGATTAAAAAATGGGCAGAGGGCCTGAATGGACATTTTTCCAAAGAAGACATAGATGGCCAACAGACACTTAGAAAGATGTTCAACATAACTAATCATCATGGAAATTAAAACCACTGTTATATACCACTCTATACCTGTCAGAATGGCTAAAATCAAAAACATAAGAAATAACAAGTGTAACAACTGTTGGCAAGGATGCGGAAAAAAGGAACCTTCTGTGTTGATTGTAATGCAAATTGGTGGGGCCTCTGTGGAAAACAGCATGTAAGTTCCTCAAAATATTAAAAATAGAATTACCATATGATCCAATGATTCCATTACTGGGTATCAACCCAAAGAGAACAAAAACACTAATTTGAGAAGATATAAACACCTCTATGTTTATTGCAGCATTATTTACAATAGCCAAGATATGGAAGCAACCCAAGTGTCCATTCATAGAGAGATAAAGAAGCTGTGGTATATATACACAATGGAATATTACTCAGCCATAAAAATGAATGAGATCTTGCAATTTGCAATGACATGGATGACTCTAGAGGGTATAAGGCTAAGTGAAGTTAAGTCAGAGAAAGACAACCTTTGTATGATTTTACTCATATGTGGAATTTAAGAACAAAATGAACAAACACACAAAGAAAAGAGACAAATGAAAAAACAGCCTCTTGGTGCCTGGGTGGCTCAGTCGTTAAGCGTCTGCCTTCAGCTCAGGTCATGATCCCAGGGTCCTGGGATCGAGCCCCACATTGGGCTCCCTGCTCCGCAGGAAGCCTGCTTCTCCCTCTCCCACTCCCCCGGCTTGTGTTCCCTCTCTCACTGTGTCTCTCTCTCTGTCAAATAAATAAATAAAATCTTTAAAAAAAAAAAAAAGAAAGAAAAAACAGCCTCTTATATACAGAGACGAAAATAGTATTTGCCAGAGGGGAGGTGGGTGAAGGGATGGGTGAAACAGATAAAGGGTATTAAGAGTACAGTTATACTGATGAGTACTTAGAAGTGTATAGAGCTGCTGATTCATGACATTGTACACCTGAAACTAATATAACACTGCATGTTAATTATACTTAAAAAAAAAATCTAACCTAGGGAAAAAGAAAATCAGCCTAGGCTGAGAGGACATCAGACACTTAAAAGTACTTAATAATTTTATATACACCTTATATTTATGTGTAATGAGGTTTTTTATCCTCCAGATGGATACAGATTAATCAAAATGATTGATTTTCTCATTTCTGATACCTCAGGATTCACTTTAGGTATTGTTTCCAAGGCCACCTAAAAACAAATGTCCCCAGCAGGGGGAAATTTAATTTACAGTAATTATTGAGTATATAACAATCATATTTCTATCATCAGTAAAACAAATATAATTGCATTTTTTAAAAAGTAAACAAAACTAAATCTTTCTGGTTTCATTGTCCTTCTCCCTTTTCTCATGTTAAAAAAAAAAAAGGATAAAATTGCTTACTGTAGAAGTCGCATTTAGAAGCCCTGATCTTGTCTACACATAGCTTTTCCACTCATCCGAGTTTTCTTCTATGAAAAAATTTGAGTCATGACCAACATCACTGACTATGCTTTACGAGATGGCTAATAACGAATTTCCTTCCACAAACTGTACGGTACATTTTTTGGGATCTGCTTATTTTTCATCTGTATTTTAATAAAAACCTATATATGGGTTCAATTTGGATTGAATAAAATACAATCATTAGTAAATAGATGGGAAATCAAGAGATCTAAAATTAAAATTTGTTAAGTGTCTACTGTGTGCCTGACATTTACACACATTATTTCATTTAATCTTCACAAACATTATATGAAGCACTCTTATTCCTGTTTTGCATATGAGGAAAGTGAGGTTTAAAACTTGACCATTACTTGATGGATGTCAGTCAGTTGGCCAATTTGGCCTGTCCTCAAATTCTGTCTTCTATTATGTAGCCTGAAATTTAACTTTAAGATCTGGAGTGTTCTATTCTTCATTAATTAATATTTCATATAGTCTACATCAAGCTAAAAGGAAAATAAAATAAATCATGACATCAGTTTGGGACTCTTCACCTTGCAATTAAAAAAATACATATATTGGGAAAGACTCCTTAATCCTGGTCAAGTTGGCAGTAAGTTTAGTGTGTGTTGTTCTTGATTTTTTATATAAGCCTGAAGGCAAGGAGGAAAAATTAGTCTTTTAAAAAAGGTTTTCTTCAATAAACCATCATGCTGACAAATTAAATGACAGTAACCTCTCTCAACAGCTGACAGCCTAGCAGGGGCCCTGTTAACATTTGCATTAGGGCAGACTGATTGGTTTAATTGGCAGTCATGCCTAAAAACCTGCAGAGGAATTGATGCTGAATGAATCATTTCCTTTAGCAATATTCAGCAGTTTGAATGCAGCAAATGCAACCAAAGGCTCTTAAAGTTGTTTTATTTATTGTTGAAACCAACCGACCAAGTGATTACTTTCGTTTTATATTCTAAAATTGTGTGCTTTTACTGAAAGCCATCATTTAAAAATGCTTCAAAGAAAAGATTTCTTACCACATTTTCCCATATCTCAAACTGGAAGGTACTAGAGGCAGACAATGTCGTGAGGAATAAATCTAGAAGGAAAATAATAGAATTGTAAGTTTTGTTACTGATGTATACATTTAAAACAGGAAGAAAGGCAATATGTAAAAACAGTTATTAATAGAGTTGTTCTTAAACATATTTTAAATTATATTTTAAGGAGCTTGATCCTGTCAAAGAAAAGAAAGCAGATGATCCTGTACTAGTACAATTAAGGAAAATGAATTTAAAGGGAGCATTTGGTATTACTCCCTCAAAAGCATTCTTTATTTTTAAGAGCAGTTATGTGTACTAACCTTTTTATCTTACACATTTGTATTTTAAGGCAGACTATATGTTAAACAAAATATTCAAATCAGAATCACATTGTGCTTTCTCACCTAAAAGCTACGCTTCCCTATATATCATAGTTGGGCTTAAGCATTATTTTAAATTACAGTATCATAGCATCCAAAATCTTTAGTACTCATGTTAAATGATCAATAAACTGTATTACAAATTTTGAATAGTAGAATTATCTTCATATAGTTCAACTAAACAAAATTTGTTTTATTGGAAAGTACATAATTTTTAATATAATTTGTTGAAAAGTAATAGGTTGACAGTCAAATCTAACATCCTATTAATACAAAGGCCAGATGAACTGCAAATCTATTCTAGTAGCAGTATTTATTATGTTTGAATAATGGCAATTTTACTTAGCAAATACATAAAATTTCAAAATGATGAGCTGATTCATAAGAATATTAAAATAACATTATTCTTTTGTGCTTTAAAAAATGGAAATTATTGAGTGATATGTAGACCATGACTATTTTAAAGAAAAGGTTTTTTTTGCCCCATTAAATATGTTTAAGAAAACTATCCTTCACATTTTAATGTGTTTTTTGTAGAGCTTTCATATGAGTTTAATGAAGCTAATTTATGTAATAATTATAATAATTTTCACAGAAATCCCCAGAAAGCTAAGTAATTTCTTCATTGTTATAATTAGTTGTACTCAAACTCCTGATTCCAAGTAAGTGGAACTATTCTTTCTGCCAATATATCAAATCTCTGCATTTATTTTTACCACACTAAGGATGCTTTGCCTGTGGATATACAAATGTAGTCTTTTATGAAGGTAATTTCTTTACTCTGTCAAACACACACTCCCAATGAAATGTCTACTTCCATACTCATCTAGGAAAACTCCCAAACAATACCTGAGATTTGTGAGATGATGTACCTACAGCCAACATCCTCTCCTTCTCCCATGTACCCTCCACACTGCCCTCAGCATGATGAAAAAATAAAAATGCAAATTTGATCTCATTCCTTCTCTTCTAGGATCTCTTCTCCCCATGTGAAGAAGCCTATTTAGCTAAGTTTCCATGCTCATTTCTGGCTACTCTCTCATAAGAAACTGACTCTCTGTAGTACCCTTTTATGTTACAGCTGTGTGACATCCCCACCGTTCCTGAGGCCCTTCCTCTCCCTAGGCATAGCTTTCCCTCCATTGTTATTCCACTATGATATCTCAATTGACATGGTTATTACAGATCCTATGATATTCCAGTTTCATATCTGTCTTTTCTGAGCTTCTTGAGGGGAGGAGTCATTCCTAATTGGTTTTTGTATCTCTGTGGTTTCTATGCACTTGGAAATAATGTGCTTGAATGACTGTTTTACAACTAAATGATACCATAAACACACATACCACATATATACACATATACACGTCTACAGACATATATAAGAGTGTATGTGTATATATATGGTATTTAGTTATGTAATATATATATGGTGGTTCTTACAATTTTGCTTGGACTGTCTACAGATAGTTACTCCATTACATCTTTAAAAAGTGTCTTGGGAAAAGAAGGGTTTTATGTTAGAGTATTTCATTAACAATAAGTATGACTGATTATAGTGACTCCTGTCTTAGGAATGTTCAAAAGCTGTTAGTTTTTATCTGAAAATGTGGGTAATCAGCATAAAAAAGTGATTAGGGATTAACAGCCACAGAGATTTCTAAGAATCACTTAGAGCCATGTCAGTGCAAGCTCTGAGGTATCTGAAAGACGGACAATTACACTATTATTATATAACACAGGTGAACTTGTTCAAACTGAAAACATTACAGTGTTGAAATTCTGAACGCATTTGAGAATAAATGAGGAGGCATCTTTCTGACAAGGGATCACAGGCTCGTTGCCCTGATAAGCCAGCTAGCTTTGTAGGATTGGAAGAGCTATTTTGTTACCACGGATGACCAAGCAGGGATAGTTAGAAGGGAGGGGAGGGTGGTTACCAACAATCTATCACCACTCCTGGAAAAACAACACGAAGTGTTTTTTTCTGTTGGCATTGCACTAGTCTCAATACGTTTGCATAAAGGGTGATAAATTATGAGCTTTCTGCTCTTCCATTCATAGAAAATTTAACAACTATAACCACAGTGTTTGCGGACTCTATTTTCATAGCTTCACGAGCTATTTATTAAGATTCTGAAATACAGTAAAGTAAGATGAGGGATTGGAAGTACCCTGTATAACAGATTTAAAAAATTCATTTCACAATTCAATTATGTAAAAAGGTTGTAGAAAAAATAAATGATTCATTATGTGGAGAAATAGAGACAATTAATAACAATTCAAGATGAAATCATGCCTCTGACTTTGAATGAAATAAGAATGAAATAACAGCTAGAAAAAAAAAATTTAGTCAATAAAGCAACCAAGTTCTCACCCTCCTACATGGGTAAGAGTAATTCACACAATATAATGAAAGGAAATGTACCCAATGAAACTGTAACAGATGCTGTGACATGCCACCCAGACCTCCTCTGCATGAAAGACTTACTCCTTCAGCTTGCTGGAAATGCAGATGGCAGACAGCCCTATGCAGTTGTCCTTTCTGAAACAGCTTTGGGTGAGAAGAGCTGCCCTGCCAAAGGTTCATCCCTTTCTGCACTAGCCTGCATTCAATAACTGGTCAGTTCAGAGAAATAAAGGCTACAGCCCACCACCATCACTCAGGACAACTCTGCAGGGCCACAGCACATTCAGAAGCCAAAGGTCTGGTAAGGCTTTTATTTGACACTAAATCATAGTCCAATCTGCTTCCTTCCCATTTCCTCCAGCAGTACTGACTACAAGAGCACTCCCTAAAATTAAAATTCTTGCACACTAGTTTCCATTTCAGAGTCTGTTTCCCAGGAAATGCCATCTACAACCGTTGATACCAAAAGTGACTGAGAAAGCAAATACTAAGATTTTGGAGTTGGATCACCTCAAAAGTGGCTGCTAATAAGGATTCTTTCAGTGGGGTTAAGCAGTGCACAGATAGCTATACTATATTTTACTGGTATTATTGGGATGCTATTTTGGTGGAAGGGAATGCACTAGTGGGTGTGGTATTTCAGGCTTTTTGAGAAATATGAGATAAACACTAACTGTAAGCACAATGGAATTAGATGGCTATTGCTAAGCTTACTTGAAGCAACAGCGGAGAGACACAAATGCTAAGCACAACTGATGAGAAAGTAAAAGCCATTTGTGAAAGTCAGAGGGCCTCTTGGGTAGCATCTAAAGAGGTTCTCATCTCCTGCAGTAGGAGGGCAAAAATGAGCTGAAGACTAAGACCAGGATTTAATAATAAGAATAGAAGATCTCCCAAGAAGGTTAAATTCTCAGCCTAAGCCGGTCTGCTATGTTAACTGGGAAAGAATGATACTTGACTCATGAATTAGGAACATCTGGGTGATGAACCTGAAAGTCTTTCACCCTCAGATTCACCTGAGCCATCAAAGCTTGCATAAGTGGCCCACTCTCCACTGTTAAAGGCTGATATTCACTCCTGTTTGAAAATGATGTTTTCCTAAAGGCTAGTGTTCTCTCTTGTTTAAAGATGATGGAGAAGATTCTGCTACCATTGGGCAACATGCTCCAGATTTCCTACAGTTTGTCTCATCTTCTCTCCTGGCCACTAGGTCACAAAGTGGGGTTAAGTTACAAAATAACCTGGCCAGGAATGTGATGTACACATAAGGGAAAAAGGAACTATAGCCTGAATTAAGTCCAGGACCTAGCTAACATGTAGTGGCAGGAGCCAGGAGAGTATGCATGAGACTATATTCTGAGAGTGCTTGAACAAGATAGGGGTAAGGGGTGGGGCAGGGAGAATGAGATGTGGGGTGGGGTAGAATAAAGAGCTGGGGTTGGCAAGGTGATTACATTGGATCCCTTCCATCCTAGAAGAGGCAGCAGTTCACTTTACAGGAGTAGACCATACTCTGAATATGGGTTTATTCTTCCTGTCCTGAAAACTAAATTTTTAAAATGCTAATAGAAACAGTATGATGATAGCTGAGATCACTGGTATTCACCTGAAGAAATAATCCTTAACAAAAGATCATATCATGAGTTAGTGAAAAATTTAGGATATAAACCCCAAACTCAATTAAATCCTTTTTCATTAGAGTCTTGTAACAAGTAAAATAGTGAAACTATTCAATGCACATGCACTTTCTTCCCAGAAAATACAGACACATAGTTGAGAAAGTGTATACAAAAACATTAAATGGTATTGCTTCCATTATCTCCATTCATAACTTGAAAGGATTAAGCTACTGCATTTTTAAACACTACCAAATGCTGCACAGCCTTCCCTTCAAATGAAAAACCTTCTGGTTAAAGTTGGCATCAAAAGGAAGCCCACTTAGGAGTCCTAAAAACTAAAATTGGAAGTTTGACTATGCAAACTAAACCATGTTAGGAAAAATCCAAACAAAGCTTTATGATTGTGATCAAAGTTTAAAGTTAGATGGTAATGGGCACCTAACACCCTTTCGATATGCTGTGCAGGAAGGAAGAGGTTAAAAACTGTAATTTCCAGCACTGTATCCTTTCAGTGTGAAGTCTTGATGTTTGAAAAAAAAAAATTCTGATGGAAGTTTTTAAAAAGTATTCATAATGTCATTTAGAATTCCTGCATGAAGAAATTCTTGAATGATGAAAGTCACTATATTTCTTAAAGATTTTTTTTTTTT